TGCTAAATTTCATTATATTTACTTAAAATAATATCAATCACATTGATTTAGAAAATGCAAATTTATAATATGTTATTATAGAGTTAGTATATGTTTTCAAAATATCAGCAAGAAAATTATACTTGTATAGACGTGCTATAATTTCTATTATTTCTCATTTTTAGTTTTATTCCTAGAAATTATAATGTAATGTGATTTTTAGATATTTAAAAGTAGAAGAAGGCAAAAACAAACAAACAAACAAAAAACAAAAAACACATGAGAGAAGAAACCAAACCATAATTTCTGAAAAATTTCACTACTAACAGAAAGGAAAATTATGTTTAAGAAGAAATGCAAATTTATGTATCTTAACAACTACTTATTAATTTTTCATGAAAATCTGGTTTAGACCACAAAACTCAGTCCCATATCCCATTTAATAATTTAAAATCGTAACAGTTTATTAGACATGTGCGTGCGCACATGCATGTGTGCGGTGGTATTGAGAAAACATTCTTTTCTTGCATTATTGTGGAGAATGATTGAGTGTTTCATTAGTTCAGTCTAAATGCTCTCTTTTTTAAGGTTTATATTAACATTGCTGCTTATCAGCACATGTTCTGCTCTATTTCTTGCAGTCCACAAATTCTTCTCGGTAGGTTTAAAAAGCAAACTGTAATTTATGTCCTCTGAAACATAGCAAGGGTTTAAAATAATTTACTTGCAATTTGATGTGGATTTGCATTTCTTAAGTATAAAACCAAAAAAGTTAAATTTCTTCCTGTCTTTCTATTTGTAGGGACCGAGGGCAGGCTGCCCCAAAATGTACTACATGGCATATTGATTATTTTGAATCGAAGCTCCTTGGAAACAGCCAGTACAAGGACACTCAGACCTTCCTCTATTCCCTTGAAAGCAGGGAAGAAAACCCCCATATGAAAAATACCTTCCCTGTATTAAGAAGTAAAAAGACATCCTCTTTAGCAGAGATAGGGACTTTAAAGTGGAGAAAGCTGTAGACACAGACCTATTTTTTTTTTTTAATCTAATACCTCTGCCTCCATGCTGCTTAGAATTCTTTATTAGTTAAAGCTTCCAAACACCTGTTTTCATTATCCTGCCACTTCATCACAAATTTATTGTCTCTGTGTCTAAAAGTGTATACACACTTGCTGCTTTGGTCGTTTCTTTGGGTCTCAATTTCATTATTCGAAATCTGTGTCCATGTAATAAAATTCTGGTTTTTTCCTTCTGTTAATCTGTCTCCTATCTATTTAATTCCTAACCTACTGAAGGAACCCTGGCATGGGGGTGCGATGGGGAGAAGGAAATTTCTTCCTCTCCTACGTATTTCTACAGAGCTGTAGCAGAACAAGTAATTCTACTTTTCTCAGTAGTTATGAAAATATTTAGTTTGTGGATATTCCAGTTTGGTTTTGGCATTTCATGTGTTATTTTTCCTTATGTTTTCAAAAAGGAAAGAGAAAATTCACAACTTACAATTTTGCAGAAGGGAATTTTTGCAGAGGTACTCTGGGAGCAGTAATTTATCATTGTTAAATCAAATATTACATAAAAGTGGAAATGTATTAGTGCAAAATTAGCCAGGTTTTGTTACATGTCTATCTTGATTTATCTGATCATTATCTTTGTCCTTGATTGTTCAAAGTCATTCATGCTGGTTTCCAAATTTGGTAGCAAATATATATCTAAAGTGTTTCTGTGCATTTAAAGGTAGAGAATTATTTTCTAATATAAAGTAAAATCTCAATTAGAATGTAATTCTTTATCCTTTAGCAGCACTGCCCAATATAACTTTCTGTGATAATGGAAATACATGTGTCTGTTGAGCACTTGAAATATGGTCAAGTGCAGCCAAGTAAGTGATTTTTAAGATTTATTTGATTTTAATGAAGAAAAGTTTTATATTTAAATAGCTCCATGTGAAATGTGCCTATCATGTTAGATAAGACAGCTTTGGAGTTTTATTATTACTCTTTCATTTTATCTAAATTTTAAAAAGAATGTTGTTTTAATATTTGACCTTCACATGAAGTTAGTATGGTCAAGAGTTTGCTTTGTTTTGTAATTTTTACACAATTTAATTTACTGTGCAGGTATAATAGAAAGATACAAGCAAGAATTTCTAAGAGAAATGTTTCTGTTTCTCGTTTTCTTGGTGTTTTCAGACTTCTGTAACAATCAGCCATAGGTTGCTGCTCAGTTTAAGGCACTAATGTTCTTTTCTGGAGAATTTTGGACTAATTTGGGAATTGTGGTGAAACTAAAGTCTCATAATTTAGTAATTAGAATATGGAAAATCTATCGCAGGGGCAGGTAGAAAGGCAGGTAAGAGTTTTTATCCATGGCATTTAAACAATCTGACATGGAAGCAATCTTATAATCATGATTATTGGTCCTATTTGAATTTGAACTTCTTACAGAAGAAAATCTAGCATAAAGAGTGTGCAATGAGACCTTAGCTCAGAAAGTCCATTAGTATAGTTTTGAGTTAAAATATAGATACAGATAAAAGTGAAGAAGTAAGGAGTAATTAGAGAATTGCAGTTTTGTACCTGAAGGGAAATGAAATCAGACAGACTCTCAGGTATTAACAAACAATGGCTCAATCAGAAAGGAGAATACAGCTTGAAGCTATATTGAATTGGGTGGGGCAAAACTGGAACAGAAATAAAAGGCGAAAAATTCAATGTTACTTCAGTTACACTTCCTAAACAGGTGGGGTAATTACTCCCAGAGCAGCATTTCAGGAAAAGATTGAGCTTAATACTTGATCCTTTCATCCGCAAGCATGAACACAATAGAGTAAAATGTAATCATTCTTTAGTGTGGATAATTAAAAAATGTTTTTTTTTGTTAAATGTTTCATTTTAAGCACATATTTTGTGTGTATAAAATAGAAGAAAAGTAGAAGAGGAAAGTAGAATCATGTGGTTGAGGTGGTTTTAGAAACCAAGGATATGTAGAGATGCTTCAACTTTAGAAAATGGAAGATAATAATTCATAGTACAATCAAAATGAGGTAATTATTAAATTAGGGTTATTTTTTAAAATTAATTGAAAATGTTGGAAAAAGGATAAATAGAAAATTAAATTTGTATTTATTTTAACAACAGTTTTTAAATGTTTATTTATCTTTGAGAGACAGAGACAGAGCATGAGTTGGAGAGGGGCAGAGAGGGAGACACAGAATCCAAAGCAGGCTCCAGGCTCTGAGCTGTCAGCACAGAGCCCAATGCGGGGCTCAATCCCATGAACTATGAGATCATGACCTGAGCTGAAGTCGGATGCTTAACCAATTGAGCCAACTAGGTGCCCCTAACAGCATGGTGTTGAATTTCAAGACAGGCAGTTAAAATGGAAGGCTGAGTATGTAGGCAAAGATTGGCAATTATTTTGGGCACCTGGGTGGCTCAATAGGTTAAGATTCTGACTTCAGCTCAGATCATGATCTCACAATTGGTGAGTTTGAGCCTGGAGCCCCACATCAGGCTCTGTGCTGACAGCTCAGAGCCTGGAGGCTGCTTCAGATTCTGTGTCTCCCCCTCTCTCTGCTCCTTCCCTCTTCCCTGCTCACACTCTGTCTCTCTCTCTCTCAAAAATAAATTAGCATTAAAAAAACAAATTAAAAAAAGATTGAGAGGCACTTATTTAAATGTAAGCACACCAGAAACTCCCAAGAGAGTCTAGACATGAAAGATTAATATTTTTAAAATATATGTGGAAATAGCAAAGTGATTAAAGAAGGAAACTAAATTTGATACTTTATCACTTGTTTGCCAATTATAACACTTTTACTAGCAGATATAAAAAATAATTAACTTCCAAGTTTAGTATTTGTTAGTAAAACATATCTAGATGTCCCCACGAAGTGTTTTTGTTTTATCAGGTTAGAATCATGTAAAAGCTTACTAATGTACACAGTTGATATAACTGTGAGAAAATTCTCCTGTATACATTGCTGTTTGGAATGCAAATTAGTTGCAACCATTAATTAGGGCAATGCTTTTAATTCATTTACTTTTTGAAAATTTATTTTTTGAAAATTAATTTCTCAGCATATGAAGATATTATTGACATAGAACATGTAAGTTTAAAGTGTACAGAGTGATGATTTGATACATACACATATGAATATTGTGAAATGATTACCATCATAGGTTACTTCGTATCTCCACCCCCTCGCATAATTACCATTCTTTGGTAATGCTAATCTCTACTCTCTATTTGTTCCTCTTAACAACTTTCAGGTACTTAATAGTGTATTATTCATTGTAGTCACCATGCTGTACATTAGGTCCTCACAGCTTATTCATCTTACAACTGGAAGTTTGTAACTTTTGACCAGCATCTCCCCCATGACCCAGCCCCTTACAATCACCATTCTACTCTTTATTTCTTTGAGTTCAGCTGTTTTAGATTCCACATGAGTGAAAACAGTATTTGTCTTTTCCTGACTTAATTTTCACTTAGCATAATACCATCGACTTTCATGAATGTTGCTGCCAAGGCAAATTTCGTCCTTTTGTAAATTGCTGAATAATATTCCATTGTATGTATACACCGCATCTTTATCCATTCATCCCTCATGGACACTTAGGCTGTTTCTGTATCTTGGCTTCCACACGGTGGGAGAGTGTAGATATCTTTTCCATACATTGACCTCATAGCTTTGGAAAAAAATACCCGGAAGGGGAATTACAGATCACATGGTAGGTAGTTTTTTCGTGTTTTGAGGAGCCTCCGTACTGTTTTACACGCGGCTGCTCCCGGGCCGTTCCCACCGTCAGTGCCTAAGGGCCGCAGCAGCCGCAGGCGCCTGGGTGAGCCCCGGCCGGGTTTGACGGCGCCTGCGTGAGCCGGGTGCCTCGGAACCCGCCGGGCGCCCCCTGAGCTGCCTGCGGGCAGGTGCGCGGAGGGCGGGGGAGGCTGAGGAAGGGGCGGGCCCGCACCCACAGCTCCCGTCGCGAAACCTCCGGTGGAGTGCCTGCCTGGTGAGCCAGGGGCGGCCTGGGGCTCTAGGAGCCCACAGGCACCGCGATGCCCCGGGGGCCTAGGAGCTCGGCCAGGCGCCTTGGTGACCCAGGTTCCCCCCGGGGTTACTGGCGCCGCCACGTGCCGGGTAAGTCTGTGACCCGCTCTGGCAGCCTACTGAAGCCTCCCGGGGTCGTGGCAGCCGCCCGGAGCCCCTGGGGTAGGCAGACACTCGCGTGGCCGGGAGTCTAGGTTCACGGGAGCCTGCAAGGGGGCTGCCGAGAGGGCCCCTTGGGGCAGCTGGAGCTGGCAGCTCCAGAGCCAGAGGTCTGAGTGCACCGGGGCCTCCTAGGAGTCACCTGGGTCCGTGGAGGGAGATGGGGTCTGCGTTGAAGTCAGGTGTTCACACTCTGCGCCCTCGGAGAGTCTCAGCGCCGGGCTCCCGGGTGCTGCGCTTCACCAGGTGCTGTAACCGCTGCCTGTGATCCTCGGCTCCTGGGGAGGTGATTTCCTGCATTCTCGCACCGATAGTTGTTCACATCGATGTTTCACTCGTGGGGTCTGGTCATATCGGTGTTTATGCCACCATTTATTTCGCTGACATCAGTGGCAATCTCCAAGAAGTGTTAGATTCTGTTTGAATATTGTATTCAATATTTCATTTATTTTTACAAGAATAATTGAAAAGTAGCCATTTTTAAAAATTTGTATTTATTTTAGAGAGGGAGGAGGGACAGAGAGAGAAGGAGACAGAGGATCAGAAGCCAGCTCTGTGCTGACCGCAGAGAACTGATCCCGGGGTGGAACCCACAAACTGTGAGATCCTGACCTGAGCCAAAGTCAGATGCTCACCTGACTGGGCACCCAGGTGCCCTGAAAAGTGGTCATTTTTGAAAATCAAGGTACTCAAAATTTCTTTCTTTCTTTTTTTTTAAAAAAGCAAGAAATGGCCTACTTTTGGATGTTACAGGGAGAGGGAAATTCCGAACAACTTTCTCTCATAATTCACATTTCTAAACATTTAAGAGTTTTGAAAATGTTGTACGGAGTTGAGTTTACAGAAAAATGAGCAGGGAGTTTGTGATGCTTAGCCAGTTGATTTTTAATGGAAAGGGACGATAGGGTTTGTGTATGGGAAATTTACCTGAAGTCAGAGATTCTAAAACTTGGGTTCCTGAGTAAGTGTCCAGAAATTTACAGATAACATGGAATCTGGATGCAGACATGTTGATGTGTCTCTCAGAGCCATAACCTCTCAAAAATCTGTGAGGAGTTTTTGAGCAGAAGAACTAGGAATCATAGCTTTAGGCCACCTCCTGGGTTGACCTCTCAATCTGCTGCGGATGGGAAAGATAAGTATGAATGAGCTCTTCAAATCCATATGGGCAGATTGTTTAAGACTTTTATAATGATTTGTGATGGCTTTTGCACTTATCCAGTATATCATAAAAATATTTTCCAGGGTATGTTATAGTGTTAAATTCAGGGTGGGAGATATGGGGTCAGTGAAATAGGAAAGGAGAGAAATAGCTATACAGATTGTTTTGTTTTGGTTTTGGTTTTCTTTCTTTCTTTCTTTTTTTTTTTTTTTTGGCATAGATGTGTTTTCTTTTTCTTCTTTATATATTTTTTTAAATTTATTTCTAGGAGCGAGAGAGAGACAGCGTGAGCAGGGGAGGGTCAGAGAGAGAGGGAGATACAGACTCTGAAATAGGCTCCAGGCTCTGAGCTGGCAGTCAGCACAGAGCCCGACGCGGGGCTCGAACCCACGAACCGCGAGATCATGACCCAAGTGAAAGTCGGATGCTTAACCAACTAAGCCACCCAGGCGCCCCAAGATGTGTTTTCATCTGACATGTTTGTATTTTTAAAAATCTTATTGATACCTTGCTATTTTTTTTTTTTTTTTTCCAAATCCATGGCTGTGATACTTTGGTGAAAAAATAGACTGGTTAATTCAGTGAACATGTACATAACTTTTTGGTATTATATTGCTGGAGACCCATTCCAGCTGGTCCAGGCGTCCTTGAAGGATGGGCAGCGTCGGCGAGAGACAGTGAGAGAGCCCCAAGATTCTTTCTGATCACCAGGCAGGCATCTCTGCCCTGTCGGTTTTGGTGTCTTTATTTATAGGTCAAACATTAACATGGCCTCAGAAATAGGAATTTTTATAATGGATAGTTCTCTGTGATAAGATGTTTTGGAAAATGTACAGAAACAGGTTTTATAGAAGTCTTCTTGTAGAACTGCCCCAATTATAGTGAGGGTGAATAACTAAGAAAATAACAGGGTGTTCTTAGTGAAAAACAGGATAACACACACATTTTAATAACGCTAAGATTAAGTCATAAGGTTAAGTTGTAGATGCTCTTATCCATCCTCATCACAGCTGCCAGTGTAAGTGAAGGTGTTTGTGGAATGTAGGCCTTAGGGAAGGGACTGCTATACACCATCATTTAGCAAAGGTATATGTAGTAACTTATGTTCTGTCCTTATCTGTTCCTTCTCTCTAAGTTAGGCTCTTTGTCTCCGGGCAAGACTTGATTTTCCAGTTATATTCTTTATGGCTCAGAGAGCCAACCATACATTTAAAGAGTTTAGTTCATTTCCAATACATAGAATAGCGTCTTCGAGTGCATTTACCTTTGTGTCTAGTTTTATGATTTCTTGAATAGCTAGGGCATGAGAGAGATTTTTGGTTAGGTGATTTACATGTTGAGCTGTAGGAACATCTTGGGCTAACGCAACAGTAGAAACAGAATTGTACACGTAAAGGTCAATCTTTTATGAGTAAGGGTCATTAGCCTGTTCATAGCTCAAGGGAAGTATGGAGGGAAACAGGACCTGCCGGAGACATGATGTCTGTTCCCATAATCAAAAGAAGAAGTTCCCACAATAAGTTCCTTCACGAGGTACAATCATCATACCAGGGCCAGAATAAGGGGACAAGTCACTCCCAATACCAATCAACAAGGTACCTTGGGAGTCGGTGCTCAAGCAGAAATAACTGAGTGGGGGTGGATATCGGCCATCATCCAATGGCAAGAGACCGTGCAAACTTGCTTTAACCTCACCAGGAGCTTTCTCGACTAGTGGGCTTAGAGTGGCTCCCAACGTTATAGAAAAATGAATGTTATTTTTACACCTGCATATTAGACATTTATTCTCAGATATTAAATAGCAAAATCATACTTAACATATTTAAAATGAAATTCATATTTTATAATAATCTCTATCCCTACCTGCTCTGTTACAATTAATAACATTCTCCTAGTCATATATATCTTATTGAATTCTTTAATTTTCTTTTTTCTTGGCCAAAATATCCTTAGAACAATTTCTCATATTCATATTTCTTTTCATTAATAACTGTCACTGCAGATTATCCTTACCTCCCCACACTCCCTGTTTCAATCACCCCAATGTCCCAACAAACTAATTTTCTAAAGCAAGACTTTGATTGAGTTGTATAGGCCATAAGATTAGTTGATACATTTCCACTGACACTGGGCATTAATCCCAATGACTTAGTTGTTCTTTAAAATATTCTGTAATCGAACTTTAACTTACATTTCTTGATTTAGCAATTCTCTGCATCAGAATTCTAGTCATTATGGAACCACGTTCTTCAATTGAAAAGCCCTCAACTCCTCTGCTTATCTATTTTCTGTTCTGTCTTTGAAAGTCTATGCCAAATAGGTCTGATTACCTTAACACGGAACAGTATTAACAAAGTCAAATATCTTCCCATTCAGACAAGTAGGGTGGCCTAGTTTAAGAGAATGGAAAGTGTTGGCCTCAGCAAACATGGAAGGACAGGGAGCTTCCCGAGCTCCACCAAAAATGTTCAATTCAAGAATAACAGACCCAGCTGAACCACAATAAAACAGAAATACTGCTTTGGCTAAACACAACTCATTAGCAAGGATGGGTTTGGCTCACAGAAGCAGGAGAAAGCTGTTTCCAGCTTTCATGCCATGGCCTTACTTGTCTTAAAGTTGCAGTCATGTTTATACGGTACCTGAAAAAAGTGGGTTTTGTCCTTAAGTATGGAAAAAATGTACACATTTTGGAAAGCAATATGCAACTTCTGCTTTGTTTCTTAGTTCAGTATTGTCAGTGCACTGTGTAAAACAATAGGTGTGTAAATTAACAACTGTACAGATGGAGTTTTCCAAAGATTGTATTTTAAAGATAAATTAGCTTGAGAATTATTTTTTTCAATTTTTTTTAATGTTTATTTTTGAGACACAGAGAGAGAGAGACAGAGCATGAGTGGGGGAGGTGCAGAGAGAGAGTAAGACACAGAATCTGAAGCAGGCTCCAGGCTCTGAGCTGTCAGCACAGAGCCGGATGCGGGGCTTGAACTCACAAACTGCAAGATCATGACTTGAGCCAAAGTTGGCTGCTTAACCGACTGAGCCACCCATGGGCCACGAGAATTAATTCTTATAAATGTGTTTGGAGGTTATTTTTTCCCATGAATACATGTATGCCTATCAACATACAAATGTGTTGCTTTTGTTTTAAAAGATGCACATTTATTTTCATATCTGTTTTGGATTAGTGCATGGTCAGTTTTGGAAAGAAAACATCATAGCACTATCATATCGGTCACTAGCATTTGTCTTTGGACCAATGCCTGAGAACTTCTACTGGATATTTTCCTCTTTTTATCTGTACAATGCTAGGACCATTCTCCCATGTTCACCAATACACAAGAGATCAAAATCTTAGCTTCTTGGTCCAGCAAATACTTACTTCTGAAAAACCTGTGACCCTGCTGCGGTAGTTTCTTCAATAAGAAATCTTCAAGTGTGAAGCTGACTTTGCATAGAAAATGCTAACAAAAATCTGAGGTTCGGTCCTCTCTACATTACAAAGAATACGTATCATGAGACTGTAATTTAAAATATAAGCAAATTTGGGGTGCTGGGTGGCTTAGTCGGTTAGGCATCTGACTTTGGCTCAAAGCCATGATCTTGGGGTTCATGAGTTCCAGCCACACATTGGGCTCTCTGCTGACAGTGCAGAGCCTGCTTGGGATTCACTCTCTCCCTCTCTCTCTGCCCCTCCCCTGCTCTCTCTCTCTCTCTCTCTTTCAAAAAATCAACTAAAAAAAAGGAAAAAGAAAAGAAAATTCCTTCT